GTCAGGCTCTGTTAGTGCTGGTTTTCTAACTCTCTTCAAGAATGTGCCAGTAAACAAGTGAACAGAGTTACAGGAATCTTCTTTGCTAGCTTGTTCCTTTTACTCCTAAATGTCACGAGTTAAGGATCGTAGAAAAAGAAAACCATGGAATATCACAGTTTATTGTGATTGTAGTTTCCTCACCTTATTCCTGTGAGTTAATAGTTGGATGCAAACACCACAGGAATGGCTTTGAAACAGAAGGAGCAAGGTGGAACACACCTTGACTAGCTTACAGAGTTATATTCTATTTCTGTGTGTTAATACCAAGTTCCTAAGTCTTGTGTATTAAAACCATGCATTTAAAAAGCAGAGTGTGGAAGGAGGTAACATGGGGAACTACTGATCTCTTTCAGGTGTGGCAATACATTACCTTGATGAGGCGGATTTTTCTCATCGACTGCCCAGGTGTGGTTTATCCATCTGGAGACACAGAAACAGACATTGTGCTGAAGGGAGTGGTATGTGTCTGTGCATAATGCTGGCAAATCCTTGCTGGTGTCAGTGTGATGGGTTCAAAATGAATGCACACTTTCCAAAGGGTTGATATTCCACCGTTCATTTTCAGGTTCAAGTTGAAAAGATTAAGAGCCCTGAGGATCACATTAGTGCCGTGCTGGAAAGAGCCAAACCAGAGTACATCAGAAAGACGTACAAAATTGATTCCTGGAATGATACAGAAGACTTCCTTGAGAAACTTGCTTCTAGGACTGGAAAACTGCTAAAGGTGTGACAACGTTGTGTATGTGCAGGCTGGAAGAGCATGTGGCCTGTTCCTGACCAAGGGAAATAGGAATATTTCCATTACTTACACTTAATAGAAAGGCAGTATGCCCTGCAAACATGAACATCAGTTGTTACTGTTGTCTTTCCAGGGTGGTGAGCCTGACCTGCAGACTGTGAGCAAGATGGTTCTTAATGACTGGCAGAGGGGCAGAATTCCATTCTTTGTGAAGCCACCAAATGCAGAAACAGGTCCCCAGGTTAGAATGTGATGCTTGCGCCTCTTCTCACATACTTGTTTTGCCTCCTGGAGTGCCATGTGATTTGGGTAGTGCATGGCTTGGGCTGTGCCCAGTCTGGTGATTCAGGTGACACTCACTTGAATTTGAGGACCAGGCAACAGTGCTCTTTGCAGAGATGTCTCATCATTTTACACCACCTCACTGCCAGTAATGTCAGCAATTATCACATAGTTAGCTTGTCATCTTTCAAAGAGATAAAGTGGAAATCGCTGTAAGAGATGCTGGGCCATACTTTGTGAATAATATATCCATTGCATGTCTTCTTTCCAGCCTCCTGCATTGGCAGCAGCTGTGACATCAAGCCAAGATAATAATGAGAAGATCTCTGAGTCCCTAGAATCAAGTGTGGAGGCAGCAGAAGAGAAGAGGAATACAGACACTGAAATCAAGCAGCTCATGTCCCATGTTCGGCAGAACTTCGGGAGGATTAATGTGGCACCACAGTTCTCAGAAGAAGACCTGGTTCCTGTAGATGTGCCAGGCTTTGAAACGGACAATGATTCTTCTGGAGAGGAGGAGCAGGAAGAGGAGAAAGAGGAAAATGAGCAACATCAAGACTTAGCAGAGGAGGAATCGCAGGTGGCTGTCCCAGGTGCCAAGGAGAGCTCTAAAGCAGCTCTTAAGGCTTTGGATGAGAAGATAGCAAAATACAAAAGATTTCTGGATAAAGCCAAAGCCAAGAGATTCTCAGCAATCAGGTATCTGAGGATGTTCAGTGACACCTATTTCACAGGGGGAAAAGGGTTAATGTGATGCTGCAGTAGTTTCTCTCCATTCATGGCTTGCTTGGCTGGTTCCGCTGTGTTGCCACACACAAGCTGCCACAGCTTAATCTAGTTTAGCCTTAAAAATCTGAACTTTGCCTAAGCAGCAGTTTGGTTTTGAAAGATTATTCAGAGAAGTCCTATTTAGCAGCATGACAAAGTGCTTTCTCTTCTGGAAAGCTGCTGCTTAGGCTATGGATTAGAAATCTGTTGGTTTTCTGGGTAGCAGCATTGGATCTTTCCTTAATGTTGGGTTCTTCCCTGAGCAATACCAAGGCTGCTGTCCTACCTGGATACACCAGCTAGGTCTCCATGCATGTGCATCCTTGCTCTTCCATCAGGCCCAGTTTCAATGAAGCTCACTGTGAGGGTTAAGACGTCAAGGTTAAGTGTTACATTTTGTCCCTTTGTGCAGCACACAAGCTCACTAACTCCAGAGACAAGATTACCATGACGTGTTTTAGGTGCGAAGGCTGTTTCTTTGCTGCTGGGATCCGCTGCAGACTGATTGCATCTCAGAGGTGGTTTCATTCTGTGTTAGAACATTCTTTCATTGCTTATTTTCTCTCTTGCAGAATCCCGAAGCAGCTGAGTGAAAAAGTGTTTGCAAAGTCCATGCAGAAGCCTGAAGAACCCAAAGCAACTGAAGACAGAGGTAAATCAAGATTAGTAGATGTTCTTAATCTACATTTGGAAATGCTGTAAGCATGAGAAGAGAGTGAGTTAGGGGGAGAAGCGTTTGTTAGCCTCTGATTGCAAGTTTGGTTCCCTAAAGCTTGTTAAATCCATAGCTACCTTAAGGGCTCCCTGATGACCTTTGCTGTAGCCTTTCTGTAGGCTTGTCTGTAGAAGTCCCTCTGTTAGAGAATGAAGGTGGAGACAAATGTTGCATTTCCAAAAGAATGGTGCTATGGGGAGCTTGTGTTCCCTATGGTGTAATGTTACACAGAAGGGAGTGGAAGGGGTTTATGATGTTATAAAAGCACAGCAATACTCCAGGCTATAGGATTTACTGTGGTGACTTCAAGAGTCTGTGGCTTCAGTTTCCATCGTAAGTTTGATTAAAGGCAAACCCTATTGTGCCAGGACTGTGAAGTTCTTCTGGACTTGCATGGGGCTTTAAGCAGTCTCAAGGGCAGTTTCATAGTACTAGTGAGTGATTTTCTGGTGAGGAACTTGCATGCTGTTTGCATAGAAGCTGTTGAAATACAACCAAAGGAATGCTTTGCTAAAGTAGATGGAACGATGACCCTAGTCTTAAGTTCTGCAAGCAGATTGGTGTTTTGGAAGGTGCCCCAGTAGTGATCTCTGCTGTTTGCAGGCACCACAGAGAAGACAAGAAAAAGGAAAGCAGAAGAGGAAGATGATGATGATTTGGGTAAACAGCCATGCAAGAAACTTACATCCAAAGAAGTAAGTGTGTTTTCTTGTAGTACAACAAACGTGCAGAGTGCTAGAGCTGGCTTTTTGTATACATAGATTGACCATTACCACATAAGGGCTTTGAGACTGAGCACTAATAGGAGGGAGTGAGCTCAGGGACTGTAGCTGAGTGTCCTGGTTTTGGTGTTCGGTTAAACCACAACGCTGAGGTTGGGTGAATGTGAAGACACGGTGACTTGCTGTGGACATGCAATATGCAGGAGCATGTTCCAGCTGAGCATGGACCCATAAAAGGGTCCAACAGGTAACCACAATGGGAAGAGTGTTGAAGGGGAGACTTCTTTGTGGGTAATGGTCCTGCTTTCGGTGTTAGCTGGCACTGCAAAGAGAGCAGGGTCTAAATCCTGGGAGATGAGAGGATTTGGAAGTAGATGGGCAGTCCTGGTCTGTCTTTAGTGAAAGTCACTGCTGGTTTCCGTTCATGTTAGTCAAGCCTAAACTAATTCCAAATAATTATGTACTAAGTGATATCGTCTGCAGGACTTTGAAAGGGATTTATAAGTGTACTTATATGGTGTGTAAATAGTTTTTAGGGCATTGCTATGGGTTGTTAGGGCAGTCAGAGGGGAGCAGATGGCCAAATTGTTTGTGAGCATTGTCACATCGTCTCTTGAAGACCTCTTACATGCCCGTGCACATCACACTGCTTCTTGTAAAGAAGCTCTTGTAAAGGTTAAAGTTACCTTCCTTTGTTTAAGAGCACGGGTAGGTTCCATGTAGATGTCCATATGTTCACATCAGTAATGTTTCCTTTGAATTGATTGTATTTAAGGTACGTGGAATGCGAAGCGAATGACATTTGAAAGCTGCAAACGAATCCAGGCTATGGATACTGTGGATTTGCTAATGTGGTTTGTGTGTATGTATTTGCTAATGTGGTTTGTGTGTATTTGCAGAGAAGACGAGCTGAGAGGCAGCAGCGCTCCAAGAAAGTCGGAGTCCGGTATTATGAAACTCACAACGTGAAAAATAAGAATAAGAACAAGAAAAAAACTGGCTTGGAGGGACAGAGATCAAAGCCCCAAAAACCCAAACATAAGCAATAATTGCTTATTCTATTAAATTTTACATAAAACAGCTCTAGTATGCAGTGGCTTTTTTTAATATGAAACTTGTACTTCCCATTCAAAGCCCAGTTTGAGTTGTCTGCCTCGTTCCCAGGAGTAGCATCTCGCTCTTTGTTTCTGCATCATCTGAAAGTCCTTTATGCAGTTGGAGATCCTGGTATTTCCACATCCCTGTCTGAGGCCAGTAAACACTGCATTGGCAAAACAGCTCCTGAAGTGGTATTTAGTGGTGGTGGCTGGTCTTGTTTGTTTGATTTTTCTGGAAAAATTCAGATTTATGGAGGTTTTTCATGTAATTAAAGTAGATTCTCTTTCCTATGACTGTTTGCTGGATGTAACCAGTTAGTTACACAGGTACCTCTAGTGAAGATTGCATTCGCTTCCATTGAGAAGCAATGCCTGGCATGGTGGTGTACCCCTTTGTCTCATTAGAAATAACCATGTATTTCTCATCCTAGTTACTGCTAACAGTACTGGCAGGGGATTTTGATGTACAATTTACACCAACATGCACCTACTCAAGGAAATAACCCCCCAGACACCCTGCCCACGAATGACCTGGCTTTGATTTGTGGTGAATGTGACTTAGATTTATTGTAGATGCTTTGTATATGGTTTCTCATACTTTATATGACATTCTCAAAGTAATAATGTTACAGAGATGCATATAGAAATGTTTATTGCTTTGAAGGTCATGTAGCATGTTACCAGCAGGCAAGTCCCAGCCATGCTTGCTGTTCAAAGAGCTGAATGCTGAGACAGCACTGAAAAAGGGTGCAGTAATTAATGAAGCTCTTGAAATTCAACTCTTCAAGAGACAAAGAAGGACAGAACACAACTGTGCTGCTTCAGTTACCGGTAAGTGAAAATTCAAGCTTGTTTTACAAAGACAACTCTTTGTTACTAATTGCAAACTTCTTGCTCTGACAGCTCTTCTGAATGCTGCCTGGAGGATAAGAACAAAATCTACTTATTTGGTGCAATGATGCTTTCCAGTTGTGCCTGAAAAACAAACGAGACAGTAAGTCAAATTAGATTTAATATAAAAAAATAAACCCACGTTGCTGTAAAGTGATAAATTATCTGTTTGATATTCAAAGCGAGGAGCTGAGGGATGCTGCAATACTTTTAAGAGAAGCAGGCCGGGGTTGTTTTTTCTCTGAGCTATCCCATTCCTTACTACACATTTTATAAATTAGCTTTTTGCTCTTGGCATACACACTTGTTGCATTCTGAGAAGAAAAGAGCTGGCATTGGTTCCGTACAATGAAAGAGCCGTTTAATAATGTAAAGCACTGAAGAGGAAATTAAATAAAAGCTGTTGAAACAGTGGTCCGAATTCTCTGATTTCAGGCTGGACTATGTTAGCTAAATTAAATATTTGGCTCTCTAGCATTTGGAACACAAACCCTGGAACAGAAGTATCTGGGAACAGCGAGTTTTGCAGTTACTGAGACAACTTGACGCCCAATTAGTAGATTTATCAGAGAGCTACTCGTGCTCGGGGAGCACGTCCTGTGTGAAGCATCCAGGACTCCTGGGTTGTCCTCTTCTAGAGCTGCCATGAAAAAGAAATGACAGCAGTGTATCCACAGCTGTTGGAGTACTTCAGGAAACGTGGGTTCTGTGGCAATGTATGTTTGATCTAAGAGTTACTTCATCTTGCACCCTAGAACATTTCAAGATGGCTTGAAGGAGTCAATGGTTTAGAAAGGAGAAACTGAAGGGTGAAGATAAGGAGAGCAGCTCAGTGTAAAGGAAAAAGAACCCTAGACTGGTTTGTGTTGGAAAGGACCTCAAAGCTCCTCCAGTTCCAACCCCCTGCCACAGGCAGGGACACCTTCCACTGGAGCAGCTTGCTCCAAGCCCCTGTGTCCAACCTGGCCTTGAACACTGGGAGGGATGGGGCAGCCACAGCTTCTCTGTGGGCACCCTGTGCCAGCGCCTCAGCACCCTCACAGGGAAGAGCTTCTGCCTAAGAGCTCAGCTCAGTCTCCGCTCTGATCGTTCTTTAGCTGTATCCAGAAACATTAAACGTTTAGGGTAACATTTTGTCTTTACTCACTGGGATTTTTTCCTTTCAAAAGCAAAGTAACGAGCAGAAGCTGTTTTCACCAAAGCAGCATGCACAAAATTGCTCCTGTAATTATTTAGTCCCTGCTGCGTAAGTACACAATTGTTCCTATTATGCAATATTTAATGTTAAATGGTGCAGCTTGTTATCAGGGAATCAACTGTAATGGCCAGCAGCAAAGGAACAAAACATCTCAACTTGCCAGCACTAGATTTTCTGATTTGTAGCTGGGAAGGGGTGGTGCTGACATTGTAACCTCACAGTCAAGTTGTGCAGGAGCAGATTCCTGGAGTATTGGTCAAGTTTGAAGCATCTGACTGTAACAATTCATCATTTTCTGAACAAATTCTGCCCTCTCCCTGGCAAACGTCTGCGTATGAGTAGAATTTGGGTATTCTCACCTGCTGTTTTCATCATCAGGTTTACTGATGGTGACCGGTTGAGTGAGCAAGGAAGCAGAGAATGCGAAAGCACTATTTTTCCCATTTCAGTGAGAATTTAAAGGAAGAAGAACATTAATGCAAACACCTTCATAAGTGTAATACTTCTAAATCCATGAGGAGAAAGTTATTTCTGTGTATTTCTAACTACAAACTGACAAGATTGACCATTACTACTTGAAATGGTCTTTTTGTTTTTAACTAACCTTCAGCTGCTGATTGGTTCTTTTCAGGAGCTGCACCTCTTCAGTGTGTTTCTTTTCTTCTATCTGCCTCCTTTCATTTTCCCGTTTTTCAATAGCTTCACATTTAGCTTTCTGGTCACTCACTTGTGCTTCCAGCTCCCGCTTTTCCTCTTCTAGCTCTGCAATCTTAAAGAAGAGTATAGATCCCTCAAGTTTTCTTTGTTAATAATCAATATTCAGTTAAGATGGGACAAAGCTCTACATTGTACAGTCTTTATCACGTTCCAGACATCATAGCACATCATTTGCTCAATGCAATTAAGCCCTGAGAAAACAGACAAGTATTCTGATGATCTTTACTGCCATCCAGTGGCAATAGAAATAACTGGTTCCATATAAAGCTTTAAATGTACTATCCCTATGCTGTATCACACGCAGCAAACTGCATTCTGGGGTGAACAGCCCAACTTACTCTTTTTATCATGTCAGATTTGCCGTGCTCAGATTGCAGTGCCTTCCTCATGCCAAACGCAACACTGCTCTCGTACAGCGTCTGGTAAGCAGCCATGGTCATCTGGATTTCATCCCTGACCCGCAGCAGCAGCAGTCCTCGCTCAGCACAGTTGATCGTGACTTCTCGGATCAGTTCATCTTTAAAGCAAGGGTACAACAGTCTACTTAGTCATTTATCTGGGAATGCTGGATCCACACAGGGCCCCGAGCTTTGTTGTCTTTCACCCGTTCTCTGCACCATGAAAGCAGCATGGGTTTAGTACAGATAGTAAAATTACTTTCTTTTGTATGCTGGCATGTAAAAGCAGAGTGGTGGTGTAGAACCTGTGGTCACAACAGTGATAGTGATCCACTGAAGCTGTAAGAGCAAGTGCCTAAAACATTGTAATGATTTCTTGCAGGGGAAGCTTACAGAAGAACCAAGAGCCTCCAGAAGATTCCTGCTCAATGTCAGCACCATGGCAGCAGAGAGTGTAAGTCTTTAACAGTTACAGAGCCTTTCAAGTTATTTAAAACTATTGGGTTAAGTACAACTAAGGGATTTTTATGCTTGTTTGCAATTTTTACTGCTTTACAACATGTCTTTCGAGGAACATGGTCTGTATAGAAGCTGACAGCGTCAGCAGGTGCTGATGGGCACCTTGGCCTGACATGTGGATCCCTGACAAGGAAGGCAAAGGCAGTGTGCCCTTCCCTTGCCTGGTGGTCCCTACCCTATGGGCTGTGTTAAGCCTCCTTGGAGGAGGAGGAGAATAGCAGCTGGGGCCTGGCTGTGGGAGCTGCAGGGGGGCACTGACCGAAGCACTGCGAGTAGAGCTCCCTGCGCACGGGGCAGATGCCGGTCTCCCGCGCCTGCCTCTGCTGCAGCCGCAGGTCCAGCTGCTCCTGCAGGTGAACGACGTCCAGGCGGGTGCTGGGCGTGCTGGACACCTCCTGCACCCACAGCTTGTTGTCCTCCGTCCATTCCCTGCCAGGAGAAACACGGGGTGTTACCGGGCACCGCCAGGCACGGTGTGTGTGTTGGGGGGGGGAGCCCGGCTGCGCTCACCGCGGCGGCAGGATGGCGTTGAGGAGCTCCTGCGTCTGCTTCCCGGCCGCGGCGGCCGTGCTGGGCGGCGGGACGGGTCCTGTCGGGGCGGGCGGCGCCGAGCGGCTCGCCTGCAGCGGTGGGGTCTGCGGAGAGAGCAGAGCGCGGTGGGCAAGGGCGGGACGGGGCCCTCGGGCGGCCCGGCCCGGCCGGTCCCGCTCACCCCGGGGGAGCGCTTCTCCGTGCGGCGGGAGACGAGCATCGGCGGGTTGTACCGCAGCAGCGAGTCCGGCGGTGGGATCATGGCGGCCTCGGATGCCGTTGTCGCTATGGCAACGACGCCGTGCGGGAGGCGCCTGCGCGGTTGGGCGCTATTAAGCGCAGGCGCAGAGCTGCCTGAGGGCGGGGCGGTGCTTGCCGGAAGTGCTTCCGGGCACCGGAAGCGGGGCGCGCTTCCCTTTGTGGCGGCCGGCGGCGCCATGGAGGCGGAGGCCGAGCGGCGGCGGGAGCGGAGGCGCCGGGACGTGGCGGTGAAGGCCGAGAAGCGGAGCCCCCGGCGCTCCGGCTCCCGCTCGGCGCGGGGCAGCCAATCTCCGCCTGCCGAGGAGCGGCGGGGCCCGGCCGGGTCGCGCCAGGGCAGGAGCAGCAGGTAGGGCCGGGCTCGGTGGCTGCGGGCCTTGCGCTCCGCCCGACCCGGCTCCGCTCCTCATTCTTGCTCTCGTTGCTTTAAAGGTCGCCCAAGAGGAAGAGCAAGTCCGGGCGGAGGAGCCGGTCCCCGCGCGGCAGGAGGAGCCGCAGCCCGCACCACGCCGCCGTGAAGGTGAAGCAGGTAATTGGCATTGTCGGTAGCACCGAGGCCCGGTCCTGCCCGCGGAGGTGTTAGCGGGGCCTTGCGCGCTTCATGACGCTGTCCGACAGCGGTTCCTGTGGGACTCGGCCGTGAGAGGTACGAATTACAGCATCCCAGCCTGGTTTGGGTTGGAAGGGGCCTTAAAGCTCATCCAGTTCCAACCCCCTGCCACGGGCAGGAACACCTTCCACTAGAGCAGCTTGCTCCAAAACGACTTCTCGGCTGGCAGTTACATTCCACGAATCCTTGTAGTGTGAGCGTCAGGAGGAGGGTCCTGGCACTTTAAGAGCTCTTGCTGCCCACCCCAGGCCTTGCCAGAAGTACACATGTGTGCATGAACCCAGCCTGTGCCCTCATGCAAGCTGCTTCTGCGAGCTCCTTTGCCCAGTGCAGATGATGCATTGCACAGTTGCTTGATCTCTCTTTGGTGAGAATTGTGGGAATCGAGATAGCTTGGCAAGGAAGGCAGTTTCTCTCGTGTAGCAGTAGATCCCCTGACAGCGTCCAAGTGTGTGTTTTCCATGCGTAGGATTGTGATTTGCTTAAAAGCCGAGGTAGATTTGCTGCTCTTTCGTGCCAGTTCTGCCTGCGTTGCTGTAAGTGATTCTTCATTCCAGGAGCGAGATGATCACTGCCGGAGAGGAAACGAGGAGCGAAAGCAGAGATACCCATCAGAACCAGAACACAGGAGAGACAGGAGCGGTGACAGAGACAGGCACAGAGACCACGCAGACAGAAGGAAGAACCTGAATGAGCGGCCTGGAGTCCGTGGCCACGAGCGAGAGAGGGATGTCCACAACATCCGTGAGCAGCAAGCAGAGAGGGAGTTTTACAATGAGAGAAGACGAGAGCATCGACAAAACAACCAAGGCAGTGGCGCTGAGCAGAAACCAGAACTGGGGCAGTCTGATAACAAACCTAAAGAAAAACCTGCTGTGAAGAAAGAGAAGCCAAGCTTTGAACTGTCGGGGGCGCTGCTGGAGGACACCAACACTTTCCGAGGTGTGGTGATCAAGTACAGCGAGCCCCCTGAAGCGCGCATTCCGAAGAAGCGCTGGCGCCTTTATCCCTTCAAAAACGATGAGTTTCTGCCAGTCATGTACATTCACAGGCAGAGTGCTTATCTGCTGGGCAGGCACCGCAGGATTGCAGATATTCCCATCGACCACCCCTCCTGCTCGAAGCAGCACGCTGTGTTTCAGTACCGGTAAGTACCTGCTGATGAAACAGGATTATTCAGGAAAGAGAAAGAAAAGCAAGCAAACCCCCCTGGATGTGCACGGTCGAGAGGTATGAGTTTGCTGTCAAATACATTAGAGATGGGATTTATGTTGGCTGCTGCACATCATCCTAGCAGTAATCAAAGCCATCTGTAATTCCTCCTATTTAACCACAAGCAGCCTTTTAGTAAGACAAATGACACAGCAGGGTTAGGCAGAGCTGATGTGTATCCTAACTGGAATGATCTGGCAGGTGTAATTGGCAGTAAAAGTGTTTGAGAAAGAGTTTTTATCCATGTGGCCTTTCACAGCAACGTGTGCCCATCTCCTCTGGAACAGCAGGGGTTGCCTGCTGCTGAAGACAAAGATGCTCTCATAGGGCACAGCCATCTGTTCTGGTGTAGGAATTGCTTTATTATATTACCAGAAGTTTTAGGAGGTGATGCAGTCTCAGAATCTGCTCAGTCTCACAGTTTCCCCTTGCTCTCATCAGGCTTGTTCTGATCTCTGTGAGTGCAGATGAGTATTAACTGCACCAGGGGAACCCGTCTGCTTTCGGAGCGTGTTTCCTTGCTGGCTGTTGTGATGGAATGGGTGTTGTTTTGTTTCACCAGGCTCGTGGAGTACACCCGTGCCGATGGTACCGTTGGCCGCAGAGTGAGGCCCTACATCATCGACCTGGGCTCTGGGAATGGCACTTTCCTAAACAACCAGCGGATTGAGCCGCAGCGCTACTATGAACTGAAGGAGAAGGATGTGCTCAAGTTCGGGTTCAGCAGCAGGGAATACGTTCTTCTCCATGAATCCTCGGATAAATCCGAGGCCAACACAAAGGACGATGATGATGATGATGAGAAGGAGGAAGAGTCTGACAGTTAACAGATGAGGAGGGAAAGGGAAGGGGCAGGAGAGAGAAATTGCAGTTGAACGTGCATTGGAGCATCGCAGCACTGATGCCTCTTATTGCCTTAAAGTCCTTTTTCTGTTGCTCTTCTGTTCTCATAGTTTGTTTTGGGGGACTTCCCTGGTTATTCATTTCTGATAGTTCTGCATATTGGGAAATACAGCTTTTCTTTGTTCTTTTTTTCTCCGCTTTTCCTCCCCAACAAGCAGAAGAGCACCTGGATGTGAAAGCTCTGATGCTGGGAGAACTCCACAGACGTTGAAGGACATTTCTGCCAGGAAATGACTTAGAACACAGCTGGTGTATTTGAAATGATTTTTATTGACTGTTTTCTCATAGCCCTTTGAAAATGCTCCTTAACAGAAATCTTAGTTAGAAAGTAACCCCATGAGTTTTGTAACACATCATGTTCCCTAGTTGGCCAAATTCCTTTGCCTGATAGGAATTCTGGACAGGAGAGTTTAGCTGGCTGGCTAGTAATGAGGTGGAGAAGTTGGCATGCGCTGGGTACTTGGTTTGCCTTGTGAGGGTCTTTCACTGGAATTCACCACCCAAAAATCACGAGGCAATTGGAAATAGAAGTCAAAGTCTTCCTGGGGCTTCAGGTGCTGCTGGTGTGGTTTGGGAGCCGAGATCTGGGTCGTCTTCCCACGCATGGTGCTGAGCTTATGCTGGATATCAAGTGTTAGGGGCTGGAGCCTTTATTTCTGGCACCACCCCAGCCCACAAATAACTTCTCCTTGGTTTTGTTTGCATTACACAAAGACCTATGTGGTGATTTGTTTCAACCCGAGTTTGCACTATTTTTCTTTTGATAAAGAAAATACACAAATCACTTGTTTAAAATACTTCCCCCCCCCCCTTGAAACAAGGCTTTAAGAAGAGGATGAACAGTTCCACTCCCTCAAGTACATGCATCTTTGGATGTCTCCCCCCCCATGGCTTCACACTGTAAGAAACATGCATTTTCCACGCTGCTCCCAGTGCGTGTTTGTTCCGTGGTCGCGGGCTCTCTGACCTGTGCTCATGTGCTGTGCACGCATGTTGCACACGTTCCATGTTGCACGCACAGGCTGGAACACTTGGGATGTAAATACAGGGCATTGCTGCAGGGTTTCACATGGTAGGTAGCGTTTTGACTCGGAGGATCTCCTTTATATTATACTCTAAGGGTTTTTAAATAAAGAATTTGTAAATTTAGCCCTAATTACTTTTAGGTGTTAATATTTCTCGGGGGTGCCTTTCTTTTCCTTTATGTTCTTTGAAAACATGAACTGATGATGGGATGGAGGGCACTAAATACGTTAAGGAACCATATAAAGCATGGTTTGGGTACGGGGGAGGCTCCTCCCTCCCTTTCGGGGTCCTTTGCCCCTGGGTTCAGCCTCAACTCAGGGGGCCGGAGCGCTGTCACCGAGTCCCTAACGCTGGGCCCTGCTCCGGGGTGACCGGGGCGGAGCGGAGAGGAGAGGAGAGGCGGGGCCGGGGCGGAGCGGTTGGGCCGGGCCGGGCCGTGCTCGGCGCTGCCCCCGGCGGCCCCTCCCGGCAGCGCAGCCGCCGCCCCGCTCCGCCCGCCCGGCCCGCTCAGGCCGCAGCCGCCATGGCCGCGCTGCACGCCAAGGCCGGCGGCCCCCCGCAGATCCCCGACACCCGCCGGGAGCTGGCGGAGCTCGTGAAGCGCAAGCAGGAGCTGGCGGTGAGCAACGGGGCCCGGCGGGGGAAGCGGCGGCGGCGGCGGGGCCTGGGCCGCGGGTGGCGGCGGCGGGGCCGGGAGGCGGCGGGGCCTGGGCCGCGGGGCGGGCGCGGGGCCGGGCCTGCTGCATGCGCTGCGCTGTGCCCGGCAGGAGACGCTGGCCAACCTGGAGCGGCAGATCTACGCCTTCGAGGGCAGCTACCTGGAGGACACGCAGATGTACGGGAACATCATCCGCGGCTGGGACCGCTACCTCACCAACCAGAAGTGAGTGAGCGACGGGCGGACGGAGGGAGGGAGGGAGGCAGCGCCGGGCCCCCTCCATGCCCCCTCCATGCCCGTTCTGCCTCTTTCAGGAACTCCAACAGCAAGAACGACCGCAGGAACCGCAAGTTCAAGGAGGCGGAGCGGCTCTTCAGCAAGTCCTCGGTCACCTCGGCAGCGGTGAGAGCCGGGCTGGACCCCGGCGGGCTGAGCACACATCCCGGTCCCCATCCCCATCGTCATCCCTTGGTGCTCCTCGGTGCATATGGTCCCACGGTGCTCTGGTTGCCCAGGCTGCTGCAGGACCAGTTTTCCATTTAAGCTCCTCTTCCCCAACCCTAGCATCTTCATCCCATGTAGCAGCCTCTTTCAGAGCCCTCTTCCCATTTAGTGCCCAGAGAGGTGGAAGGGAACCACCCGTGCTTGTCACTGCCATCATGTCCTTATCTTTTTGCTCCTACCCCCTATCTCCTGTGCTGGTGCTGGATTGTGAGCCCTCAGGCAAAAGCCTGGTGTGTCTTTGTGAGGTGATCTCTATGCTTTTCAACATTTGAGAAGTGGGGAGTCACTGCTCCCATTAACACCCCTTCTGCTTTCCTAGGCGGTCAGTGCATTAGCTGGAGTTCAGGACCAGCTCATTGAGAAGCGTAAGTGGCTTTTTCCTTTCTCTCAGGATTTGGAAGGAATGATGCTTCTGTCTCCAGCTGCCTGGACCCGGGCTGTACTCACTGCTCCCTGTGTGAGTACAGCCTCCATCCCGGGCGCTCCCGCACAGCTGCTGCCTGCACAAGGCAGCAAAGGCGCCCTGTGAGACTCAAGTAAAGTTGTTTCCTTTCTCGAGTAAACTCTGACACTCAACAAGAGTTCAGTGTGCGTTAAACTCATTTCAATGGGGTTGGTGCTCTTTGGAGAAAGAGGCTGAAAGAGCTGAAGCAACCCCTTGGTGTGTGTTATCAGTCAGAGGGACATGTGGAGAGCCGCATACCTTCAGGACATTTAAAAATGGGGTTGTAATTGATACCCAACTGGGTACATTTCTGGCCTGCTCCACTTGCTGTGGAGGTAGCTGCTGGCCTTAGGGGATGCTTCAGGTTCTATCTACCTCCTGATGCAGTAAGGTTTAGGCTGGCTCTGCTGCCCGTGCACTGTGCTCTACAGGGAGGTAACTTGTGTTCCCCTTTGCTTGTCCTGCTCTAGGGGAGCCGGGCAGCGGCACGGAAAGCGACACTTCTCCAGACTTCCACAATCAGGAGAACGAACCCAACCAGGAGGATGCTGAGGAGCTGGATGGGTCTGTGCAGGGGGTGAAACCCCAGAAAGCTGCTTCTTCTACTTCTTCGGGGAGCCACCACAGCAGCCACAAAAAGCGGAAGAACAAAAATCGACACAGGTTAGTGGCAGCAGCAGCCTTCTCGCCATGCCTGCTGCGCAGTTAGCTGCTGTTGGGTTGCTGTGATGTGAATGAGTAACTCGTTAGAATAACAAGCAGCTGGGGTTGTTTGTGTCAGAAACCTTTCTGGGTTTGAGTTGTACCTGTCCCATAGCATTTAGTGCCCCATTGCTGTATCAAGGAGGGGAAAACATGAAGGAGTTAATCAAGCAGCACAGGGTGCTGACTCCAGCTCTGGTCCAGCCATACTTTTGAGCAGGCTTTCTCAAGTCTCCTGTCTGTCCAGGAGAATAAAGCTGTCTGCCTCCCAGCAGAGGAAGATGGCAGTCCTGGCCTCCTGTGCTTGCTTACTGGTTTGTGCAGGACCAAGTGAGATGGGAATGTCAGAGCTTTCTTTGGAAAGGGGGGTGAAACGGAAAAGCAAGTCTAAATGTTCTGGGGATTGTGGGCCCTTCCAGTATCTTCACGAAGATTCCTATTCCAAGCCCTTTTAGCTGTCATGTACCAAACTGAGTCTCTTGATCATGACATAGAAGAGTTGCTTTGCTACGTTAACCTCAAAGTGTTTATTGTTAAGCTGATCCATGTGAAACAAAGATTTCCTGAACTCTTTATGGCTGGATTTAGGTGAATGGTTCTGACCTGTGAACCCCATAAAGCGTGATGCAGTGTGGCAGGCTGATGGCTCACACACTCCGTGCCTCACAGCGCTGCTCTCTATGGGCCAACATAACCTGCTGCTGGACCATAGAATCCCAGCCTGGTTTGGGTTGAAAGGAACCTTAAAGCTCCTCCAGCTCCAACCCCTGCCACGGGCAGGGACCCCTTCCACTGGAGCAGCTTGCTCCAAGCCCCTGTGTCCAACCTGGCCTTGAGCACTGCCAGGGATGGGGCAGCCACAGCTTCTCTGGGCACCCTGTGCCAGCGCCTCAGCACCCTCACAGGGAAGAGCTTCTGCCTAAGAGCTCAGCTCAGTCTCCCCTCGGGCAGGGTAAAGCCATTCCTCTGTCATGGAAAGCCATTAAAGGCAGGAGTCAGGCCTTAAGGGAGGAAACATGCTCTTGGAAAGAGGAGGCATTTACTGCAGAAATGCAGTAAGTGCAGAGCTTGGCTTTGGATGGGCTTTTCTCTTTAAGGGAACTTCTCATGAGTTAACGAGAGAGATGTTTTAAAGAGCAGTGGTTAAAATGTCCAGGGTTGCTGGGGGAAGGTTGGAGTGGGAGATGCAGAGGGAGGTATAGTGCTTGAGAAGTGTTTATCTGCTTTCTCCTTCATTAGGTTTTGGGGCATTAGTGTGTCTTTAATTCTTAGATCAGAATTTGCTTCCCACACCAGTCTTAATTGGGCAAACCTCCTAAAATACTGGGTGTCCCTTGGGTTCCTCGTGAGTCCAAAGCAGTTCAAAACTCTGTTATTGCCTCTAGACAATTGGAAAGACGTTGAATAACACAAGAAACTCCATCTGTGAATAAGTTCACAGAAACAGCCTCTAAACCTGAAGTACAGCTTAGGAAAACTGCTGTATCAAATGCATTCCAAAATGCTCTTCTAAGCACTCACCTGGCCAGCAAACCCATCCTCTGCACACACACTGGGGTGCAATCCAGATGCTGTAAATAACACTTTTGCTCCATTGCATAACCTGAACTGTAGGGACAGGAGTTAGGAAGAATCTGCCCTGCTGACAGGTTGTGGTGCTTTGGGGTTTCTTCTCCATTCCTTCCACTGAAACAGCTGATGCTGGGTACTGGCGGGGACAGTGTTGGACGTGAAGAGCCCTGGTCTGATCTGGTATGGCAATTCTTATCCTCCTAAGAGGTACATCAGACACATCCACGTTACAGAAAGGCTTAGTTAGTGATTGACTATTTTGTAATGCTTAGCATGGGCAGGTAAGAGAATTAAAAGAAGATAATTTAAGTTTGTAACAAAAACTCTTGTTAAAATTGTGATTACTATTACTATCCCCTAAATTTTGGCAGAAAAGACCAATTTATATCTGGCTTAAAAACCCCCAAGGAAAAAGCAGTCCCAGTCTACCAATAATAGAGCTATGTGCTTTAAAATGCATTGCAGCCCGGAGTGCTGTCAGAAGAGACCTGAGGGTCTGTTTCTTGAGTGCCATAGAATGAAAAAGAACCTAAAGAAACAGTGGCTTTTCTCTTTGATCAGAAGCTCTTGTGTTTGCCAGCACCCTGCCAGCGCAGTGTTCTGCTCTCCTGGTCCTGGAGCACGGGGAGGAGTTGGGAACTGAAGGTGCATTGAGTCCACTGGGTGTTCTGCTTTGTATGCCTCTTGGAGGGGTGTTGGGAATGGGATTCAGACTGGGCGGAACTGGTGTGAATAGGCAGGTCAGCTCCCAGCAGTGAAAACCAGGGAATCAGATGAAGTTGCAGTGTCTTTACTGCAGTCCTCTGTTCCCTGTGAACCCACAGGAAGGCCAGGATGGTTATTTTCTATGGGCTCAGCAGTTTTCATGCCTAAAAAGTGTTTCAGGAGAAAACAATACTGCTCTTAGAAAGTCCCTGCTGAAAAGCTCCCGAGTTGGAGCTGGTTTGTGGAGCAGCCCTTTCCAGCACACACAGTTGTTGGCTCTGAGGCAGGACTGTTCCTAGAGGCCGCCCTGTGGCATGGTGTGAATGCTGAGGCGAGGGGTGGGAATGTCACCAGCCTGTCACTAGCTTTGGCCAAATGACCCTGTTCTCTTTTTAGCTCTAGAAAGGAAGCGAGTGCAAGAGGATGTGTGTGTGCGAGTGCGTTGTGAGGCTCTTCAAATGCCAAGTCAGCCACTTCATTCTGTGTCCCCGGCTCTGCCTGAACCAGCTTTGCTTTGCTGTAATAACCTAGACAAAGCCTCTGC